CAATTCGCTTCGGTTCTGCTTGTGCTCTTTCTAACAACTCTTGTTTTTCTTACTGTGAACCAAAAGCTCTCGTCAAGGGTGAAGTAGAGTTACCCGGGGTGGTTTTCTGCAACAGATTATTGTGCTCATGCCTCCGCTTGTGCTCTTTTGAACAACTCTTGTTTTTCTTGCTGTGAACCAAAAGCTCTCGGTTATCCGCAAATGTTTCCGCTTTGGTGCGACTCTGCGCTAGCTTTGCTCTGTCTCGCTGACTCTCTCGTTCCCCGCCTGCGCTCCACCGTGCTGGACGGCTCTCCCGACCTTCGGTGTGCGCAATGCACACCCGGGCGGTCAGCCCCCTTCTTGCGAAGGATGCTGCCGGGACGCCCGAAGTCCCGGCCCCCGTCGTACACGAGGGTGGGAAAGCGATGCTCTCCCACAGCTTGATAGCAAAGATAGAGAAAGAGCCAGGGACAGCAGCCGACGAATGCCGCGACGGAAACAGAGACGCCCACAGAGGTCCACAGAGGGGGAAAAGGAGAGACAGCGCGAGACAGAAAGAAAGTGAAACACAGAGACAAAAAAAAAAGAGCCAGACACAGAGTGAGCTACCAAGACGAAGACACGGACAGATACAGTCCGAAAAGGACAAGGAGAGAGAGAATCAAGAACACAAAGCTAGAGTCCGCGACCCTCTCCCTGCTTGGCCGGCGCCCGGCTGTCAGGCGTAAGCCTCTTAAATATATAGTTTTACACTAGGAAAGGGCAAAGATCCCTGGGTCCCCTGCAGGCACTCCATGTCCGCTGTCACTTTGGTGATTCGACCTCAGCATCTTACAAGTTAATGTCATCAACCACAAAGGCTTCTTCTTTATGGGAACGAAAATACGAAACAGGCAGAGAAAGACACTCCAGCACCGGCACCTTGACCAACTGTTTATGGACAACAAATGATGGTGTGTTCCGCTCTCTCTTTCAATCTCATAGCCTATTTCGGCTCCACGCTTGGCATGTTCCAGGAGGTCGGTCAAGCTCGTTGAGTGTTCAACACATTTCGCATACAGTACAGTCAGTACTGCTGCTGAACCCGGCTCGACTGCTGAGCGCAAGCTGAGCGCAAGCTGAGCGCCTTGCGCGGCTTCTTGTTGGAAAAGAATTCAGCTTTTCATACATCTCGGGCCTAAGCAGAGCGGGAATCCTGGAGAAATTGTGTGCTTGCACACCTTGTTTGCTCTTCTGGATTCGGGAATCCTGCCGCTCGACGGCACTCACCACTCATAGAAATCATAGCAGAGGCAAGAGGCTCAAAGCGTTCTTTACTACTAATTTGAAGCCATGACGCAGCAAATGTTTATATATATATATTTTTTTATCCAAGTATGTTATGTGTATATATATATGTATATATCCATACATTTGATAGAGCAATTTGCTGCTTGCTGTTCAAGAATCAAGAATTCAGCATAGATCACAACCCTGCAACCCTGTGGAACACAATCAAGTCCATTACCAAATGTTTGGCTTGGCAGCATCTTCGTAAGCCGCGCTAGAAAGAAATTTGGAAGTACTCGGCTTGCAAAACAATGTCTTTTGTCTAGTCTAAACATCTAAATTAAAAAACTGGAACTGATTCGCAGCCAGGTCACGTCCGGTCTTGTGGCAAAGTCACATACTTTGGGGGTTCAAGCTCCTGGCACACCAACTGATGGATCAGCAACAAACACGGTATTTGGGTCGCGCTCCCGAGTGATCTTCACCGGTGCTTCCCTCAACTGATCTGGGCCTCAGCAAAGCATCAAGTTCAGAGCCAAAACGATGCTCGTTTCGACCGAAAGAACCATCGAAGAGGTCTTCGGTCTCCCGGCTGCAGGTCGTCAAAAGATACCGCAGCATGTGAGCATCTGGGTCCTGACCGGTCGGCTGCGCATGTCACGTGCAAGAGCAAAAACTGTGGAAGAGTATGCTTCTTGCTCCTAGTCAGGAGCCCCTAGTAGCGTCCTTGCTCCTAGTAGCGATGCCCTTTGCTCCTAGTAGCTTCTTGTTACCTAAAGAAACAGAAAGCCGCCTCTCCCATTAGAGGCTCTCTGACCAAATTCATTGATACTCGAGTCGCGATCCCTGGTGCTCCAGTGTCTCCAACCGCGTCGAGTGTGGAATTGCTTCATGACCCTTTGTGGCAGTTCACCAGAACCGATCAGACCGATTTTGGGGAACCTGGAAACCACGACCTCAGACTCCAGCCGACCTCAGGTTTCGTGGCCATGAGGCTGTTCACCATCTGCGTGACCTCGGATTCCAACAACGTCCATCCGACGGACCAGTCACTGACCGATCTGATGGCTCAGTCACTGACCGTTCTCTCCAAGTCATGTTGAGTTGCGTACCTGCGATCCAACACCGGTCGTCACACCGGAAACAAAATTCGTGAGTGATGCTTTGTACATGCGTCATCCATGATTCAGCCCAACCTGGACCTGTGTCATCACACATCATTTGCAACAACCTTCTTTTTGCTTTGCTGGCTTTGCCCCAGTATCACCCTGTATCACCCTATAACAGTCCATCCTTTTGTAGCGATACTCAGTCTGTCAATGCTCCTTGGTTGAAGATCTCTGTCAGCGCCTCTTTGCATCTTCCGCAGCCTTCGCAAACTTTCCAGACATGACCTGGCACAGGGCTCATGGGAAGGACTATGAAGGACTAGGACCTAGGAATGACTCATCCTAGCAGGTTCTCCGTTTCGGGAGAAGACCTGCGAAAAACTCTCGACCTTTCTGGATCGAGGAGTCTGCCTTTGAGCTGTTGTCCCCGAAAATCATGAAACTGCATGGAAACAAACTGCGGCAGCCTCAGAGACCCTGGGTTGGCACAGCACGCTGAAGCCAGAACAGACAGGTGGGGCCAATCTCATGATCATGGACATAGGACTGGGGTTGTGACAAGATGATTCCATCAACTGCTTCGAGCACCAGCACCTTTGCATTGTAAGAAAAATCCCCACACAGAAAGCCAGCAGCTCCTTTTCTTGCTGTGGGAAAACCTCCTTTTACTCCCCAGGTTGGGAAGACAAACGTTTGCGACCATCGGCGGCCAATGGCGTGTGATGTGGGTGAAACTCCAATGGTTTGCATCCCCTTCAGCACTTTGAAAAGGGGCACGTAATGCCAATCCTGTAACGGCGATTCTGCTGTTGCTCTCCGTCCATTGGTATGCCGAGCAGGCCTGTTTGAGAGGCCTGCAGCGGCAGACCTGAACGGCCGCCGTTCACCGGGCCAAACGCCGTTCAGAGGACATGGTGAAACTTCGAGACATGAAAGACCGGCAGAAAAGGATCGTCTGATCCACTGATGTTATGAAAAGGATCGTCTGGCAATACGCATCACTTCACCACAAAATGTTCGAAAAAAAGAAAAAGAACAAACACTGCGTCTAAAGGTCTTCGTATCTTGTTGTCAATTTCAGGTGAGACATGTCCTTCGGATTTCAAATTACGCGAGCAGCTCCGAGGCTCCAAGCCTGATTTTGGTGTCAACAAGGTGCAACCAACAAGGTGTCAAGGTGTCTTGGAGAATCTATCAATTCACCACACCATTGCAGGGTGATGCCTGGATGATTGGCACATCCATGGCTGCAGAAATTTCGCCCTGAAGCATCATCGCTTTGGCTTTCAGGGCTCGGCGGGATCCATCAAGCACGGCCAATCCCAAACAGCAATCTTGCGCGTCCGCGGGGAATGCTGTGCTCGACTGCTGTGGGTCTCTGGCAACAGAGGTTGGAGTTACCTGTTTCTGTCATTGATCTAAAGAAGAGACCTGAAAATGTCAGTCGCACGGCCAAAACTGACTCTTCTGTCTGCGATCCTTAAAATCAGGCCACCATGGCACATCACAAAACTGAGACTCAGGTGGATGAGCGATTAGGCACTGCAAACAAAGGCGATTCAAGACCAAAAGGGTAACCAGCTCTGCGACCAATCTCCTCACTTTTTCAAGTTACAAGTTGGTCTGAAACCATCCAGATTCAGCCTGTTCTGCCACCCAACCTACAAACCACCGTTGTCTCGCTGTCTCCGTTCCTGTACATCAAGCACACAGCCTGCGAAGAAACTCCTGGCAGCCTTGCAGCCATGAGGATCTTGGTAATTTCTTGTTTCTTCTCCTTTCTAGGTGGGAAACCGGAGCCTCCCCTGCAAAATGCGATGGCACGATGCGGCACGGCCTCTCTGTCAACCACGAAAAGACTTGGGGCTGCTAAAATAAAGATGCGGCCATGCAACAGGCCATGCAACAGACCTTTGACTACGGCCCAGGAGGTTTCTCGTATCACCCATGTGGAAGTTCCAATGTATGTGGAGGCTGGTAGAGCTATTGCCACCACTGCAAGTGCAGGTATTTGCAAACAGGCCCTGATGGCTGTGATCAGGTCCGTTCTGCGAACGCTATGGTGGTGCCAAGCTCATTAAGGTGTTCAACAAAGCCAAGATCTCCGCAAACAAACATAACAAAAACGATCTCTTCGTTTGACATGCCCGGAGTTGCTAATTCTGCTTGGAGGCTTGACACATAGTGCTGAGGCAGTCAACCTTGCACGAGGTCCTGAATCTACGCGAGCTCTGTCCTGCCTGATCTTCTTGTACTCCCCAGGGCAATCAAATGACAAACAGGCTGCTGAACATGTTTTTTCTTGCAAGCAGCTTGCTTTCAGCTTGCTTTCCATCTGATTGCAGGTTGTACAAGAGGTCAGGCGGCATTCCATTTACTTGGGTTGTCAGCATGTCCCGCATGATTGATGAACTTGATTTGATTTGATTTGCTCTTTGATCATGAATGAAGTTCTGGCATGCTGACGGACCCATGGCCACAGGACGGTCTGGGCAATCTGACCTCCAACTGTCGCATTGAATCAACTGCGAAAGTCGCAAGTAACAAAGATCTCGTCTGACCTCCCCGTCGCGACTGACTCCATGAGACAAAATATGAGGTCAAACGGAGTCTAAAGATGTTGTCTCTTTCCTGTCCCTCCTTGCCCAGAGGCATCTGCGGGCCCAATGCGGGGAATGCTGGGAGGAAGACCAAAGTAAGGACTAAGACTATTCCTGTGTACGGTGCCATCCAACACATCCACCTCCCAGGCAAAGACTATCGAACACCAAAGAACCCTCAATGCTGCAAAAGCAACCAACATTCAGTCAGTATTCTACTGTATTACGCCCATGATCCCTGTTGTCATGAAGAAACTATCTGGCTGTAGCTCCTTTACGAGAAGCCGATAAGTGAGAGTTTATGAGTGAGTTTGTTTAACAAGCGTTTTCCAGCAAGCCGCTACGAACATTGGGCTGCAATGTTCTGAGCAGACCGTTGGAAAAGCACGTTTGCCCCGCCACAACGGCAACAGTACAACTTTAGTAGGACTTTGTGCCACCTCCTAAACCGCTAGAACAAGAAAGTGTAGGGGCACCTTCAAGTACAGCTGACCAGGTGAGCAATGTCGATGCCAGTGCTGAATGCAGTGTGTGTGTGTGTGTCAGCTGCCCTTCTATCAACATTGACCACTACCTTCGTCAATGTGTAAAGAACTGCACACCTGGTCAGCTTTTCGAGTATCTACTGCATCTACTGAACTTGACGCAAAGGCATAGGCAGGCCATTCTTGGCATTTTGCCTGCACCTCACAACAGAAATGAAGCACATGTTTCACTGCTGATTGAAAGTCCATCCAACCTTGACCTGAAGACACCTGCTCAAACAATAAGAATCTCTTAGCAAAATAGATTTGATGTCAGAATATCACAATATGGACATGAATCTCACATGTGAAGCTTAGGATTGTTCAAAGGCCCACCACCTTCCAACTCGCCGTCCGAGGCGCCGCAAGACTCGGCCGTGGAAGGGTTGCTCCCCCGCAGGAAAGAGCTGACCAAAGGGCAGAAAGGCATCCTGAGCTGCAGCTGCCCAGGCTGAAGCGGGCCGAAGCGGGCCGAAGGCTGAAGGGGATTTACTAGAGACAAGGTGGCATGGTGACAGGCTGAGCTTGGCACCACTGGATCAGATCTCATGGGTAGGTCAGCATAGAAGAAGTTGTGCCGATGCCAAATCCTGGCTTTAAGACAGGGGATTCACATTGGAGCCAGTCCTTTCTTGCACATATCATCTAGTCATCTATATCGTATTCAAGAATATCTTACTACTGAGATTCATCCTCCACCTGATAACCATTTGGATACAACCATACGTGGTCGAAAAGCCAAGGTGGTCTAAAAAAAAAGTCGACTTTGCCTGAAGCCAGCCTCATCTTCTCGATGGGAAATGGTCCTTGAATGTTCCCGGCAGGGTCGATATACCTGTGATGGATCTGTGACGCCTGGTTCCATCATCAGACCCTCTTCTGGGACCACATGGACCTCGAATACTACAAATCAGCAACCGGTTATTTTATTGACGAATACAGTCCGTTCTCTTGGGATGTTGACAACTTCATGGGCGCACTGCCACCCGTTGTCCGGACATGGGGCCATCTTTACCTCCTTCTTGCCTCCAGGGTATCCACCTGCCAGAATGGATTCTGACACAGCAGGTAGGACGGGGCTTGGATGGGCATCCGTCGTGCAGCTAACTTCCAAGCAAGCAGCGCAAGCACTACCTAAAATGTACCTCATGTCACCCCTGAAGTAGAAGACACAACTTGAGAAGTTCATCACACTACAAGCACCACGAACAAATGGCAGGAGGTCAAAACCTCGAGTTCTAAACCCTGGTAGGTTGACCTTCCTGGCAATCTGTTTCTGTTCATGTTCAACCACAATGATTCCGTGTGCTGGTGTGAACACCAAACAGCGTATAACTGCGCAGCTGACGGCATCTTTTGCCCAGTATGTCACACTCTCGGTCCGACTCACGCGACTCAGCAGTCGCTCTCGTCCATGAGCTGTGTCAACTGGCCAAACTCTGTGACCTGAACCTGAAGAAGCGGAAGAGAAAGCCTGTCTTTGAGCTAAAAAGCCGAAGCTGAGCTCAAACGAAAAAGTTGCGTCATTCTGCGTGACTTCAAAATCCTCTGAAGAGTCTCATTTTACTAGTTTACTAGGAGCAAGTAGCTACTAGGGGCTCCTGGCATCGCTACTAGGAGCAAAGGACGCTACTAGGGGCTCCTGGCCATACTACTAGGAGCACGTAGCTACTAGTAAGTAACAACAAGTGCCTTACTAGTAGTAACAAGGTTCGCTACTCGCCTCATCCAACTCTCCGTTCGCATCACGCCACCACGCGAGTCTCGGGTCCGCACAAAGTCAAAGTTCCAGCGATTGGGCAGCCCCGCGTGGGGGAAGCCGGGCCAAAGCTCTGTGCCTACGGAATGTTCCCCAAAGTCAAACCTGAACACAAACCTGAAGGGAAGCACATGGAAGAAACCCTCGCTAAGTGCTTCTCGTTCTTAATGTTTCGATGTGGACTAGAAAAGAGAATCCTGCAGGGCCGTGGTTGGTTCACCTGCTCACCGGGTGCTTTTCTTCGTGGCCAACACCCGACCACGAGGTCCTCTACTACACGGAACTCTGGTTTTGGTACTCAGGAGTGAAGGGTGGTAAGCTTCACGGATATTTGGGAAGCGGGCATAGATTGAATAGACGGCAAAACAAAATTGACTCGTGCTATTCAATTGATTGAAATTGCTCGACTGACTTCGCTATTAGCCCCAGCACAGCAAGCAACAGAAAATAAACACTACTGCTAGTTGGATCTTGACTTCACATCACAAAAGGCTCAAGCGTCAACCCCTATAAATGCAAGCAGTCTAATGTCCAGTCCCCAGAAGCACCATCATCTGCAGTCCACTGGAAGGGCGTTTGCATTTGGTGGCCTTGGTTTTGGCGCAGGTCCGTCTTGCGACAAACGTCCTGCAGTCTGCTGCTAGCCAGTCTGCGAGCTAGGGCTCCAACTCGGGCTGCTGATCACCTGTGCCTGAAGCTTCTTCAGCAAGCAGCGATTCACCACCTGCAATACTCAAGGTTCAAGACTCCAAGGTCTTGTCTAGATGGTCCTAGGTATCTTCGGTACCTCAAGTGCAAGACACCTTCTTGATTCATTCAATAGACGTCGCTTTGTCTGTGCCAACAAGAGAGTTCTTGAGGGGAGAAGAAGGGCAACTGGAGCAACTGCCCTCGCCTTCGCATCGATACCACCGTTGGGAAACTTGAGAATGGGACTCAAATCCATACCTGCAAACAGCAAACGGGCAAAGACCATCAAATTCTGAAAACGGGCAACTCCCAACTCCCAAAACACAAATTCGTTGTGGTAGACACTGAGTCGCCCGCGTGCGGAGATCTGATGCCCTGGGTCACTAGGAGCAGCACTTGCCGGATACCTGTGAAAACCAGTTGCATAGCACGACATCGGGATTGGTAGGCCAAGGATGAACTTGCAAAGTGTGGAAAGAACTGTGTGCGTCTCTGGGAGCACGTGTTTTGAGTCATGACACTCCGCATCTCCTGCAAGGCCTTGGGAAATAAAGCAAGAGCCAAAGGATAAAGGTATCCAAACTCAAGTGGGCCCATTCCCACTCGCTGTTTCCGTAGAGCCATTTAGAGCTATTGGCACAACAATCACATTTCAGTCAAACTCACCGGCATGTATTCAAGTCCTCAAGTACCGTACATTGATTGTAGGCGCTGCTAGTTGAAAGGCCACCGAGCGAGGATTGCCCTGGCAAAGCGTGAGCGAAGCGTGAGCGAAGCGTGAGCGAAGCGTGATTGAGTTGCCCGGCAACAAATGATCGATGCCACCCCAGTCTGTACAGAATTGTAGCATCCCATGGTTGCTGGCATGTGATCCAAATGCTGTCGCTCGCCTGATACGAATAGAGTGCACCATGCGTGCGCTCGGCAGTGGTAAAGCCTTTGCTTGGAGGATTCCAGAGATTCTTATGTGTGACATGACATGTCTTGATTTGGATCCGGGGCATCTGGGACAGCTCAGAAAGCCCTAAAGTCGAGGCCCTAGACTCTTTCATCGGACTAGTTCGATTTTGACACTCACTCCAGGACTCTGGCCAGAAAGCTCTCGAGTCTTTGCAAAGAAGGGTCGATTGAAGGATGCCCAGTACCTTCGCTTCAGCTTCAGAATCTAATGCAGCAAGATCATTTCTGATCTCAAGTCTTTTTCAAACACACGACTTGCGACGTTGCAGGCTGTTTGACACAAGGAGACATGCGGATGAAAACTTTAAGATATTATAATACGCAAGTTTTGACGACAATCAGTCACTTCTTGGCAGGAGGTCCTTTTGACCCTACCTCCGGAAGTTCCTGAACATCCCTTCTGCTCAAGATCCCATCACCCCTTGCCTGTTTTGCCGCAAGTATGCACTCATGTCCTGTGCAAGACGCCGTGGGAGCTGAGGCATTGCGACTAAGCCTTTGAAGACAAAACTTCCTAAGCTGCAAAGGGCCATCGCTTCGCCTTGAAATTGCATTATAGGCCCCTTCAAACAAAAAAACAGAACACGACAAAGGACAGCCTACTTGCCCGGGCGCACCCGCATCTCTGAGACTCCAGGAATCATTTCCACCACCCAGAAGGTGCTGTCAGGCAACTGGCAGCACGGCATCTTGAGGCACAGCACCAAGGATATAAGTATAAATAAATATATATATATATAGTATACTTGAATCTACATGACGCAGTCTCAATGCGGCTTAACTGCTTCTCTCCGCCAGAAAGTTGTTACCGTTGTGGACATTCTGTTCCTTACCTGGAACCTGCAGACCTGCTAAACACTCTGAGGTTTGCACCGGTTTGTTGTTCTCAAACCTTGCTTCGATCGGTGCCATACAGCGAGAATCGCGTGAATCGAGAGAGTGAAGAGGAATCGCAGCTAGGCCCAGAGCTGGTTGTAGTCGGAGACCATCCACTGCGCAGCAAACGTTCCGGTGTTGGTCTTGGAGAAGAGTTGCACCTCGTCGCGCACAACACGTGCTTGAGATGGGGGGTGGTATATAGCTAGTAGGTAAGCAGAGGGTGTCAAAACTTCAGTGACAGGATTGATCAAAGTATGTCAGAAAAATGCTCAATTGGATCGAAGCCGAGCGCACCTCATGAGATGCAGAAATGCATAAGGCATAAGGATTACCCCCCCATGATCAAAAATCTTTTCTTCGAGCCCGCGATCCACCGCAATCCACTGGCATCCACCGGCTCAAAAAGAAGATACATTTTTGCTAAAGCAAGGAGAACTCAGGTAGCTGAAGCTACCCTTTCGTGGCAAGGAGCCACTTCTACAGAAATGACTTGTGGCGAGGATACTGTGCGCTGCTTTCACAACACAGTAGTTTTCCTGCAATGTCAGTGTAGCAGTTTCGACTGCACGTGCTGTTCCTTTCGAAACTGAGCTTTGGACCCAATCGGCTGCAGACTTTGCAAGCCGGTTTACAGCCATGAGGTGCATGAAATTCCTCGCCCAGTGCTTAGGCACGCTTGACATAAGTAGAAAGGGAGCACAACCAGGAAGACCCCCTTTAACTAAAGGAGGAGCCCATAAGCTGCTGCCAGCATACGGGATGCTGCGAAACCGCGGGAAGTCAAGGACCCTCGGCAAGGCAATCAACTGAAGACACAATCAATTTGGGTACTGAATCTAAGCGTATAGTATAGTGTCTTTGAGAAAATAGTGCTTGACATAAAGTTGATCATATCAAAGATAGATTTCAATGTTTCGGCCATCTTGCCGTGATTCACGTGCATGTAAGTCTACTTCACTACTGACAAAATCAGATTCAGTCCTTCACAAATAGCTCGATAGTTCTCAGAGCGTGGCTTGTCCCAGACATTGGCATCCAAGACAACAAGAGAGGTTTCCATAGCTACAAGACCTCATTGGCAGCAGAGAGAGAGAGAGAGGGAGCCTTGAGGTGGATGAAAGCATCAGAGGGCCGTCGTCAGGTATATAGCAAAACTATGGCTCTATCTTGGTCGTGTGGACCAGGAGTCTGTTTCGCCATGTTCCACAAGACCAAGTTTTCCTGCCACTGTTGAGCATGTAGAAATCATCTGTGCCTCAAAAGGATCCATCAGCAGGCGAAGGAAAAAGAGGAGGAAGCGGTGACAAAAACACAAACCACTGCAAGTTCTTGGTGACCAATCGTTGGGAACGTACTGTTGCTTCAGTATGTTGCGAAAATGAATCTAGCTTCTGTGGCTCAAGAGCTCAGGTCCCAACTAGTCACTGCACCAGGATATGATGAGAATGACATGCGGGTTGCCGACGTCTCGGCTGCAGGCAATGAAAAGTTGTAAAACCTCAGCTGGCTGCACTGGCTTTTATTGCCAAATAGACTCAAGCATCTTCAAAAGGATGACGAAACAAAAGAATCTATAGACTATAAACAAAGGATTTACAATACTATATAATTGAAGTCTGCAGCAAGCATAGGATACGGAAGAAATACAACATATATAGACTAGACGCAACATGTGTCCTCTGAACAACCACATGGTTGGGACCAAGCGTGGATCATTTTCACCAAGGGACTTGAAAATCCTTGTCATCTTGCTGTAGTCATCCCAAGTGGTATGGCCTCATGACATTGCACAGTAGCCACGACGATCCCAACTGCAGCTTTCCTTTTGCCAAAGGTCTGACAATGAGTCTGAAAATGCTCCAAATCATATACACCAGAATGCCTTGTTGCCTTTGCTCAAGACCTCGATGGTAAACCTACAAACCCGTACAGTTGTCTAATGAAAGAACAAATAGAAAGTGCAATAAACCTTGACCGACAAAGAGCTTGCACGTCTATTTTCAAGGTCCAGTGCTCAGGTCACGGCCCATAAAAAGGTCCGTATCTCCATCTCCAAGACGAACCAAAGCAGAGCACCGGCCACTCCTGTGGCTCTTGCTCTACCGGCGACAACCAATGCTCAAAAATGCGCTGCAAACACTCCGACCCACAAATCACATGGAACTTGGCCCCTGAAAAGACTATGTTCCTCCACAAAAGGCGAAGACCGGCATGTCCGGAAATGGTAGTCATAGGTCGTGATCAATCGGGGGAGCATCCAATCACCAGACCAAAAGAAAACCACCAAAACCAGTATGGATCGTCTCGCGAATGTGAGCTGATGGCTCTTCTCTTCTCGACCCCCACCAATCTCTGAGTGGCTGGCTCCATGACCCGGCGCTCCCAATGTAGGTCATCCAGTGGGTCCTCCCAAAAGTCAAGACACAAAGGAAACAAATGATTTGATGTTTGATTCTGTTGCCCAGTCGAAGCTTTTCACCGCACCAAATCCAAAAGGTATGGACTGTCATTGCTTCTTCCTTATTGTTCTTTGACAATTCTTGGACGCACCTGAAGAAATATCACCTTATATAGCGATCTGTCCAATTATTAAAGCTCGAAATCTGCCAAATTCCACCTCCAATCGTCGATTGTGACTGCGCTGCTGAAGAAATGACGGTGCCTCTCACATCAAACAGCGACGAAAACCTGGGAAAAGGGCAAGCTTTCCTCAAGTTACTAGTAGTAAGGATGCTCCTAGTAGCGATGCCAGAGGCATTGGGCTCGAGCCTGCACGGGGCGTGCCTGCAACCTTGTCGTAAGACAGGGTTCGGATCGAGCCATGGCATCCATGCATGTGGAGTTTCTCCGATATACCTTTCGAAGTTCATCCAGCTGGAAGGCCGCATTTCGCTGCCAGATCACTGCTTCACAGACGCTTTTGAGAACTCGTGACTATGCCCTTGTCGAGGTCCTCACCACACAGGGCACAAAGCGTATTTTGAAGGTGAGTCTGGAAGTGCTGCCACACCTGTCTACAAGTCGGCCATGTGTTATGTACATTTGGCACAAGTATGGGTGTTGGCATGCAGGTGTGAAGATGCTACCAGCTGACGAAACAAGTGCAGATGAGTTCATCATGCAGGACCTCCCAGATGTTCCACCGGGAGTCTCCGACCCTGGCTACAAGCCCCAAATTGATGATTTTGAACCCTGGGCTATGGAATTTGAAAAGTTCGATAGGATGTCCGGCTATGGCCTGACCCAGTCAGACCCTTTCGATACAGAACCATGGGTAATGTTGGTCTCCTCTAAGTTTGACACCAACAGCAAGATGATTCATCAAGAGTCTTCAAACAAAGTGGTTCATCACACAGTGTGCCATCATGACACGGACAATCCGTACACAGGAGATCAGGAGGACTTTGAACCATGGGCGCAGGGATATACCCACAGCACCAAGGCTGTTCGGTCCGCGCCGGTATGTGTACACCCATATGACGACCCGCTTGAACCATGGGCGATGTATTACAACCAGGCTGATAGAACCTCTGGAGAACGACTTTCTCACCATGCCAAGAGCTCATTTCTGGAGTAGTGCGACGCCTTTTGCTGAATCTGCTCAACCGGAAGGTTTCGAGAAGACAGTCAGCTTCGCACGAGATGATTCAATACCTCCTTCAGAATGTTTTGCTTGGTTCAAGGTACCGAGCTTTCAACGATGGTGGAACAGACCGGAGTCATCGGACACATGTACATCCCACACGACAGATTCTGCTTGCAGGCTACAGAGCATTTTGCCTTCTCAAGTTTTGCTATCTTCATCGATCCGAACTTTGAGGAAGCCAGTGGTGACATGGTACACAGGTGCTTGTTACCGCGACATGACGTGTCCTACAGTTGATGACCTAATACATCCGACTTCTCCCTCTACAAGCATGCAAATATCATCCAGCACAAGGGAAAAGTCTATGAGTTGCTCATGCCGACCGATGCTGACATCTTTGTCGCAACTTATCCGAAATTTTACCCAAGTTTCTTTCAGTTGGCTACAGTCAGTGCAATCGAACACAGTATTGTCGAGTTCCCCTGGAATTCGGGACGCTTTGTGTCCTTTTGTTGCAACCAGCACTGACATTGACCACTGCAGAGATCCAAATTGCTCCCGGACATCTTCAGGGCTTTTGTCACATATTCCAACAGGTATTGGCCAGTCTGCCAAACATGATGCTCTTACAGATGTTGTTTCGACACACCATCTCATACCTCATTTCTCGTGCCAGACAGAAGCAGGTGACCGTCCAGGAGCTTACGTTGAAAATTTTGGTGTACACAATACTCAACGGCTACAGCAAACCACTATATCCACAGGGGCTGTACCCGATCCAACCGCTTCGATTCCAGCACTAACGCATTTGACAATATCTCGCGGGGCTGTACCCGGCTACAACCTCAGATTTATGGACAAGGGAGTTTCACTGATGCCAGTCTTTAAGCAGTTCTTTTACAGTCAGGATGACAAAAGACGTTTATGCATCACTCAGTCTGATCATGGAGAGTTATGTGTGTTAACCCCAGACATGTCCAGCAGAGATGAACAGCCTTCAGATGATACAGACTTTGATCAAGTGGCGATGCAATGCTTCACAGATGATTTCCGCTTCTACCTCAACGCTTTGAGTTCCATTGGACCTCACGATGGTTATGCTAGTGCAGAGCTCACTAGCTTGCAATCTGAAGCATCATCTTCACATCCAGACACTCAACACGACTGGATAGACAACGTGTCAGACACATATCCTGCGCCTTTACTGCCAGTTGATAACAGTGACGCCTGTGATCCACTTTTGGTCACAACTCAAAGGTCAATGCCCTCAGCGGATGGACCTGACCCAAACGTGCAGGATCTACGTCAACTACGATGTACCATATCCCGTGGGGCTGTACCCGTTTCCAACATCAATCTTTTCCGAATGCTCAGATTGGTTCAGATCACAGGAGACCGAGTACTTGAGCCTGCTCGACGAAATGATGATGAAGATTCATGGAAGGTACATTCACAGAGCAATTTAGAAGACCTTGACAATTTATTCGGGTTTGATTCCAGAACAATGGGAAGCGCATCAACAACTCTGCTGTATCAGAACAGTGATATTCCCACGAAAGTGGAACAGAGTGTTGATGGTCCTCTACCATTTCTTCGCCCGTCGACGGTGTCAATTTGTCATTGCGACGTTTCAGCATGCCCAGGCAATCCAGCTCACACCATTTTGGAGCCTGTTAATATCCTGCAAGACACCGCCGTTCGCTCTGTCAAGGATCAACTTCAGTTGCATCAAGAGATTTTACAATACACTACCTTTAGAGGGGCTGTACCCGATAACAACCGCCTACAGCTTATTTTTGATCTAAGTCCACAGCGATCCTTCTATAGTTGCCCATCACAGGTTGCTGTCGTAGACTATTCCACTGCATTGGTGGACCCCGCTGTCACAGAAGAGCTGTCACACTGCCACGGAGACCGCACCACCAGCCGGTGGACCGGTGATGTATACCACGCACAACCGCCGCAGGAGTCCCTGTGGCCCCTGACAGTTCTATCGCATGTTACCAATCCTATCTGGACGCAGCAGCTCCCTCAACAGCCATCCATCCTTGGCGGGGTCATCCGTGTCACTAACCATGCAATCCGTACGCCTTCTCAAATTTCGCTTCAGCTTGATGTCAATGGCGGACCAGATGGACAACTTCAACGACATATGACCATCTCTAGTGGGACTGTACCCAGTTACATCCTTGGTTCACATTGTTGTTCTTCCGCTGATCCCGTGGAAATCTATGGTCAAGAACACCTTTCAGTTGACATCGACAAAATCCTTTTCCCAACTTCACTATGTGATTGTGGCAATCTCCACTTGCTCAGAAACCCCCAAAGGGGTGGTTCTGATCGACTGGGTGTACCAAGACATCAGAACAATGATGTTGTCCACATTACGCCACAACAATCAGCCTTATCAGACGCATTTCGACCGATTGCCTCTGCCTGCAACAACCTGCGATCTTCATCCTTTCGAGGTTGGGGCGGAGCTATATATCGTGGAGGACATCCAGCATGGGGTAGATGTGAGATCATTCACATGGAGCCTAATCCGCCATTTGCCGAACGATGCGCAGCAGCCACACAAGACAACGGCTGGTTAGCCTCCGATGAGGCATTATGGTTTCTTCGTTTACTCAGTGACTGGAGATCTGATATTGCCATCGGACCAATCATTCAATGGAGCCCAAGCAGAGATCTCCAACATTTGATGGCAGCAGAAGACCAATTGCAATGCCATAATGGCCGGTTGAATATCCTTCTATTCTTGGTTGAAGCACACTGGTGTGCCATTGAAATTGATCGTAGAACTGAGCCTGTTCACGTAGTCCTCATTCAATGGCCGACAGAGCACCATACCATGGTCATTCTCGAGGTGTCTCGAATCCTGCAGATCCCATCACACCGAATGCTGGTGACGCTGGATGACAGCAATGAAGTGGTCACAATGTGCGGCTGGACAATCTTGTTCCGATGGTACACTAATTTTGCCATGCAGACCTGTCTTCAGCCATTAATTCACGCCAATGAACAGAACCAGATTCGTATCGATACTGTCATCCATCGGGCACAACGTCAATGGGACCGCACAAATGCATCCACTCGTCTTCGACGTTTTGCTGTTGAGTGCCGAAGAGCATTTATGTCAGCTTATGCTCGAGACCAACCGGACACCCGACTGCCGAACTCGGTTTCGACCGTCATGTTTGTAGGTCCTCAGGAGGATTATGTCCAAGAGGTGAGTCAGGTACCACGACCGCCCACACACCGAGAAAGAGAGATTAACTGGCTACGTAATATGCTCATTCAGCCAGCTTGGCTGACTAATTTCGAGGTAGAATTGGTGTTGCAAACAACAAGAATGCAAATCCTTGACCGTTTCCTGCCTGGCCCACTTCACTTTGATCCAGTTACAGGTCAGCTTGAATCGTTTGTCAATGATCTCCCAAGTGTAGCAGGCTATACAAAAGTGCTGTTCTTTGTTACGCTTAACTACCATTGGATTTCTATATCTGGTATGCAGCACCAAAACCGATGGATGTTAACAGCCGTTGTGCCTGACCCTAAAAGCCGTGACCTGTCGTCTTTGTTCGCTGCAATTGCCACTCTTTTAGAGACATCCCCAGACCGGGTCCATATACAGGCACTCCAAATGCATACGCCGCCTCACCTGTGCGGATGGATCCTGCTTCAGTCATTGCAAGAGCAAAGTCAGATCTCATTCATCCATGATGCAACAGTGCTCCTCCAACGCATTGCAGTTATGCCGAACTCGCGAATCAAGACTCTTATCTTCGAGGAGGCACTGGGGACCTGGACACGACATGCCACACATCAAAGCCTGGTAACTTTTGCCACGCAAGTTCGGACCTATTTCTTAGCACACATAGACACATGGAGTTCTCATCATATACTTCGATTCGGAGGTATGTTCCCAACACCTGTGTCACAACCAGTCCAAGCATCGTGGAATGTCATTTCTTGTGAAACAAAGTCTAAGATTCTTCACAAGATCAAAAATCATGTCCCACGACCCTCTGTGTGTTCATGTGTCCAACGACTAACAGCCTACATCGAGATTGACA